TCCGTGCTCAGTGTGCTGAGGCACCGCCGGCGGCGGCTGCGTCGTCGCTTCGTCGGCGAGCCACTGCTTCATGCGGGAGGTGAGCGAGCAGAGGGCCTGCGTGGGGGCGGGGGCGGGGGGGGCGGGGGGGGCGGTGGCACTTTGCTGTGCGAGCGAGTCGCTTGTCAAATGATCTCCGCTGGTATCAGCAGGGTGAGGCCAGCAGGGTGAGGCGCCTCAAACGGGGCGAGGTCGAAGGAGACGCGAGCACGGCGGGCGAAGAGGCCGAAGGCGGAGGAGCGCGCCACGCGGGGCGGCGCGGGAGGCGCGGCCGGCGCGCCGGGCTCCGCCTCGGGGAGTGTGAGTGAGTACAGGTCGTAGACGATGCTCCAGATGTCGTCGGGCGACGGGTCGCCCGCGACGAGCTCGCGGAGCTGGCGCGCGTACTCGCCAACCCACGACTGCGGCACACCCGCGCTGACGAGCGTCTGCAGCAGCGCGCCAAACGGCGGCTCCACCGCCATGTCGGCGCCCGCGGCCGAGCCGCTCGCCAGCGGCAGGAGCGCAGCGGTGAGGCGGTGCCGGGCGAGCCGGCCGAGCGAGGCGTCGGAGACGCAGAGGTACACGAGCCGCGCGAGAGCAAGGGTGCGTGAGGTGAGCTGGTCCTCCATTGCGAGCGGCACCGGCGCCGGCACTGCACTCGGCGGCAACTGCTCTCCGGCACACTATCAGAAAAAAAAGAAAAAAATGCCGGCCAAATTATCGAGGCCCGGAAACTCCAGCCCGCTTGGTGTCTGATGCACCTCTGTCGCCATTGTGGTGTCCAGCTGCTGGTTAGCCCCTTTCCCCTCCTTGTTTGTGGTTTTCTCGCTGGCTAGCTAAACTGGGCTGCTGGCTGGCTGCTGGCTGGCTGCTGCTGGCTGCTGGCTGCTCTGGCTGCTCAGCTCCCGTAGGTACAGTATTATGACCACTTGCTCGAGCAGCGACTTCACCATCGAGGGCTCCTGGCCCAAGCCGGTCAATGGTGCCCCAGGGCCGTTCGGTGTTGATGACGAGAAGGAACTCTGGACGATTGGCTGGCCGTACTATTCTGCGCAGGAGCACAAGCAGCTCCTCGAACAGCTTCTCTCTCGCCTGAAGGCCAAGGAGCGGTACGGCGACGACTATCAGCGGGTGATCGGCTGGCTGATGCAGAACTCACCACAGCCTCCGGAAATCGACCCCAACTGCTCTCGGTGCATTGTACACATTCACATTTACCCTTCCCGTGCTCTCTTTTTCGAAGGCGGCTGACGTCATCCTCAAGCTGCCCGCCGACGGCAACATCGAGCTCGACCCGTCGTACTCTGCTGCGTATGAGACTCTCAGCGCCGACCCGGGCGTGCAGGACGCCATGGCGCGCGGCGCCGAGCTGCAGCTCAACGACTCGACGAGTTACTTTTGGGAGCGGGCCGGGGACATCCTCCGGTCCGACTTTGTGCCCAACGAGCAGGACATCCTCCGCGCACGCGTGCGTACCACTGGCATCGTGCAGCAGAACTTCGCCATCGACGGCCGGCGGTACACCATGTTTGACGTGGGCGGCCAGCGCAACGAGCGGCGCAAGTGGATCCACGTCTTTGACGGCGTGACTGCAATCATCTTTGTGACGGCTCTCTCCGAGTTTGACCAGGTGCTCTTTGAGGACGAGACCATCAACCGGATGGACGAGGCGCTGCTCCTCTTTGAACAGATCCTTGGGCACAAGTCCTTCCGCAACACCTCGATCATTCTCTTCCTCAACAAGCGCGACCTCTTCGAGGAGAAGCTGAAGCGAGGCGTGCCGCTGACCGCATGGGACAAGGACTACTCGGGTGGCAACGACTACCACACAGCTCTCGACCACGTCAAGGCGCGATTTCTTGCGCTCAACAAGCGGCCCGAGCAGCGCCAGATCTACGCACACGCCACGTGCGCCACCGACACGGACAACGTCCAGTTCGTGATGGCGTCAGTTTTCGACATCATCCTCAAGGAGAATCTGCGCAAGATGGATGAGATGACCGCCGACGCGCTCTCAAACCCGGGCGGCGGCGGCGGCGGCGGCAGTGGCAAGTCGGCCATCAAGTCGCCCGCCCCGTACAGTGACGGCACGGTGCTGCTCATGGCGTGCTACTTCACGGACTCGCTCAACGAGAGGAAGGTGCTGGTGGACGTGGCGGACCTGGCCAAGCTGCCGGCCGTCGAGGTGCAGCGCGGCGGCGTGACCGACTCCGAGTGGCTCTGGTGCATGGGCCTCGGCAAGGCGCTCCCGTCGAGCACGCAGCTGCAGACGGCGCACAGCGAGCTCGGCACCTTTGCAGGCAACTTCAAGGACGCGGTCCGCGAGCTGCGCCAACTGATCGGCCTCGGGCCGGCTGGCGACCTCGGCTCCCTCTACGACCGGCCCGTCTACCTCGACAAGACGAAGCTCACGCTCATCTTGTGCCTGCGCAAGCTGCCAAAGGCGGAGGCGCTCCCCGGCGCGCCGAAGATGAGCATGGAGTGGCGCGTACACGAGGAGTTTGAGGACGCGACCTACCTCAAGTACTCGGGCCGCGACACGGCGGCGGCACCGTGCAAGCCACCGCCGAAGGACAAGGAGTTCAACCCCTTTGCGGCCAACCCGGTCCGCTTCCGCTGGTTCAAGGGCGCGGTGCTCTTCAACAGTCAGGTCGAGAAGATCCCGCAGCGCGGCGTCTACCTCGGCATCTTGCGCGTCGTCTCCACGACCTCTGGCTTCAAGGTCATGGTCAACGAGCACAACCGCGTCATGATCCCGCACATCTTCCTCACCTCGCATCAGCTCACGGAGGAGGAGCGGACCTGGATGCACGGCGTGCGCGTGCGGTGGGAGCGCGGCACTCCTCTCCTCGAAGGCGCGACACCCAACCGCGGCTGGCTCGGCCCCGAGGTGACTGGCGAAGACGGGGCAACCTTCCGAGAGAAGCTCTGGTGGGCGATCGGCGAGGCGAAGGAGCGGCTCGGCCTGCCGGAGAGCAAGCCGGGGGCGAGTAACGAGGCGGAGGGACTCGGAGTCTTTTACGACTATGAGGCGATCGACATCGACGAGAAGAACCGCATCCAGCTGCTGCTCTTCTGCGACCTCGTGGAGGACGAGACGGAGCTGCAGCCTGGCCACGTCTGGGTTGACCGCAAGACGCTCGAGGTCCAGAACATGCGGTACATGTGCCCGCTCACGCTGGCGTCCATCACGGCGCGGCAGGGCGCGTTGCAACGAGAGCTGGCGGCCATCGACACGGGCGTCACCGTGGACAATGTCGAGGTGATGAAGCAGATGCGCAAGCAGAAGCAGAACCTCAAGGCAAATATCGCGGCGCTCTCCGAGGGGCAGAAACCGTTGCGGTGGGTCAACCGCGTCATTACGTGGTGCGCGGACAAGAGACCCTCCTTTGCCGATGGCGTGCCGGGCAAGGAGGCACTCTCGACCGACGAGCTTGTGGCGGAGGCGATGCGGCACAACACAACCGTCCGAGAGACAAAGGCGGAAAGGGGGGCCGCTCAGGCTCGCGCACCTGCTCGACCCTTCACGCTTCCCGTTGTGAATAGGCGGCACGCGAGTCACTTCTGCTCGCGCACCTGCCCGTCGGGTCCGTCGAGAGAGCAACGAGCCGCGGGTGAGCGCGAGCGAGCGCAGCAATTCGTTGGCTGTTGCCCCTTCTAGCGGGACTATTCAAGCATTATGTATGTGTACCCAGCGGCGCGGCGCGGCTGGCTGACCCTGAGGCTCAGCGCGATACGGATGCATGGGGGGCGAGACGCGAGTGAACGGATTCACGCCCGGTGCTTTCCTACGCCGGCAGTGCGCGGTTGCGCCGCCCCGCGCCGCATGGTGGTTGGAGGTTGGTGCCGCAGGCCTTGTGCGCCAGACCCAGAGCGAGCGCACGAGCTCTGAGTGCAGTCAGAGAGAGAAAAAGAGCGCCAAGAGATACTCGAGTAGAGAGAGGCTGCATGGAAGTTTTTACCAGAAATGTTAAGATCCGACTGCCCATTGCGTCTATCCACTGACTGCACCATGTCCCGCCCTCCCACTTTTCACGACACCAAGCACGACGTGATAGTCTCAGCGTCGACGCGTGTCCAGTCACAGTGGCCATGTGCCTCAGTCGCCCCCCCGCCACTCACGACGAGCAGAACTTGGACCGCAGCGCCCGCACCTCTGCCGGACCGACGCCGACGTCTCCGGCCTCGGCGTGCGCCACCACCGCGTCGAAAGCGGCCGCTACCGCCCGCTCGTCGCTCTTGTCGAGGCACATCGTGAGGATGGAGAAGCGGCTCGCCGAGGAGAGCGCCTGCGAGCACCGAGATCGCCCGAGATCGCCCGAGATCGCCCGAGATCACCCGAGATCGCCCGAGACAGAAGAGACGCCACACTCGTACTCGCCTGCAGGACGCCGTACGCGTGCTCCGCGGAAGCGGCGCCAGCGCCGGCCGTGGCGGAGAGGGCGGCGAGCATGGCGGAGAAAATCTCGGGCGCCATGCCGCGGCCGAGGAGCGACCTGCTCGAGGCCGGTGTGTGTGAACGGCGCCCGAGCTTTGTCGTTCGCTGCCGGCGGTCAGACTCGCACCCTCGTTACCTCTTCTCTTGTGGTGTCTCTCGGCCTTCTGCTCGGCTTGCATCTCGGCTCTATCTCGGCTGCATCTCACCCGACGGTGGAGGGGGACAGGCCCCTCACGTACTGCTGCCACTCGGGAGGGTGGCGGCGCAGGCTTCTCCAGGCAACCTAGGGGCGGAGGCCGGCAGAGCGGTCAGAGGCTCAAGGCCGGGGGAGGAGGAAGTGTCTAGGAAGTGTCTAGGAAGGGTCTAGGAAGTGTCTAGGAAGTGTCTAGGAAGTGGCTCAGGGCCGGGGGAGGAGGAGTGCAGCGCGAGCCAAGCCAGGCCTCGATGTCTGCTATGTCTAGCAAGAGTCTAGGAAGTGTGTCTAGGAAGTGTCTAGCCAGCCTCGATGTCTGCCGACGTCGCGGGAGGGCCGAGAGAGCGCGCGCTCGCCAGACAGACCGGACGCTTCGACGGCGCCTCTGCCTGCGCTGCTGCCTGCGCCGCCGGTGCAGCGGTCACTGCCGCTGCCGCTGCAGCAGCTGGAGAAGGCATGCCCGCGGCTGCGGCAGCGTCGCCGCCGCCCTCGCCGCCGCCCGCCGCCTCTTCGCCAGCGGCGTGCCGCGCCTCCGCGCCTCCCGCCGCCTCCGCGCCTCCCGCCGCCTCCGCGCTGCCGTCGTGGCGGGGGCGAGCGCACGCGGCGGCGACGAACGGGTGGCCGTCGTTGTCGAGGTCGTGCTCCACCTGTGAACAGTGTCTCTTCACACCTCTTGCTGTGAACGGGTGCCCTGTCATTGTCGAGGGCGTGCTCCACCTCTGCCACCGAGAGGGCCACCCGCCGCTTGCTCCTCCTCGCAGCCTCCCTGCTCGCCCTGCGAGCGCGGCAGGAGCCCAGCGCCTCCCTCGCCGCCTTGTTGCGCGGCTCGACCTCGAGCGCCGCCTGAGGCGGAGGCGGCGGCGGGTGGCGGTGGCGGGTGGTGGCGGTGGCGGTGGCGGCTTCGCCTCAGCAGCCTCACAACGCCTCCCCCAGCTACCTGTATATATCTCGAGGCCGTATCTCGGCTCGATCTCGCCTCGAGGTCCTCGATCGCCTCGTCCACCTTGCCCAGCTCGGTGCGCGCCGCCGCCCGCCGCAGCCGCGCCTTAACGGAGATCGGGTAGGGTCAGGGATAGAGGTCAGGGATAGGGTCAGGGTCAGGGTCAGGGTCAGGGTCAGGGTCAGGGTTAGGGTTAGGGTCAAGGTCAGGGTCAGGGTCAGGGTCAGGGTCAGGGTCAGGGGCGGGGTCAGGGGCGGGGATAAGGTCAGGTTCAGGGTTAGGGTCAGGGTAGTTGTGTCGCCTTGACGCAGCTTGGCTCGAGGTCGAGGGCTGCCGTCGCGTCCTCCTCCGCCTCGTCGAAGGCGCGCAGCTTGAGCAGGGCGAGCGACCTGATGACAGGAACACGAATGTCAGTCTCCCCGCAGGCGCGCGCAGCTTGAGGCTTGAGAAGGGGTAGCGACCGGTTCGCGTACAGCGCCGCGCTGCGCGGGTTCGCCTCAAGCGCCTCGGTGTAGTCGGACACCGCGTCCTGTCCACAGGCCAACCTTGTGAGCAGGAGCTGTGGAAGAGGCGGACCCTAACCCTAACCCTTGCGGGCGACGGCAGGCTCCTACTCACAGGCCGAACAATGAGGAGGAGCTGTGAAGTCGCCTTTGAGAGCGGCGGGAGAGGCGGCCTCGTATCGAGCGGAGCCGAAGGCGGCGTTGCCTCGGGCGCGCATCGCGTCTGCCCTCGCCTCGCTCTCGCCCCTCCTCCGCATCGCCTCCTCCCTCGCCCTCTTGTTTTCGAGAGACACCACCCTCTGACGAAGCGACTCACGCTCTGACTCGCGCCGCTCGAGCGCCTCGACCGCCCCCTCCGCGTCGTACGACTGCCACTTGTCAAAGTTGGTCGCACCGCTTCCCACCCGCGTACCCGCCGCCGCCTTCGCGGGAGCCGTCACCGCAGCCGCAGCAGCAGCGGAAGCAGGAGCAGCCGCGTCGCCGCCCGCCTTGCTCCGCCGCTCGTCCTCCAGAGCGAGCCGTGCGAGCTCCGCCTTGGCCTCCTCGATCTCGCGCGACTCCGCCTCTGCAGCCGCCGCCTCTGCCGCCTCTGCAGACGCTGCGTCGTTGGCTTGCGGAGCGATGCCGCGCAGGGCGTTGTCACGAGCTTCGATGTCGGACGACCAGGCAGAGAGGTCGCGGAAGGCGGAGTGCATCTGGTCCACGTTCTGGCGCATCCGGAGCTGCGCTTCCAGCGACATGGCGACGGTTTCTGCGCAGCTGGGAGGCTCAGTGGGGAGGCTGTGCCGACTGGCGCGAGAGCGGCTCCAACGCGCGAGTGAAGGGTTTGAGGTGCTCGGTGCGCAGGCCCGTGCCGCGGGGGGGGGAGGGAGCCGGTATCGACGAAAGGGACCGCTAGCAGGAGACGGTGCCCACGGTGTGTACGATGTCGAATACGGCGATGTGTACGTTGCCGTGCAGTTCGACGACCACTTCTTCCATCTTTTCTGTCAGTTTCTGTCCTCTCTCCGCCTCACATGCGAGTGTGCTGTGAGAGAGGCTTGCCTCTTAAGAATTCTTTTTTCCCGTGTATATGGCCGACTCTGGCGCCTCCGACACCGCCACGGCATTGCCGCTCGACAACGCCGCCGGCCTCGCCTCCGCACTCCGCGCCGCCCGCACGGACGGCAGTGCGCGGCTTGCCCACCTCGATCGCCTGCTCTCTACGCTCCGCTCTCAGACGGTACGCGACGCCGTTCCGGACCCGCCTATCTTCAACGAGCTCTTCTCGCTCCTCTCAGCCGCGTGGCAGGAGCCGTTCGAGGCCGAGGCGGCTCGCGCGGCGTGCGAGCTGGCCGCTGGCCTGCTCGCGCTGCCCGAGTTCGCGGTGGGCGGGGTGCACGTCTCCGACGACTTCCTCGACCTTGCATTCTCGAGGCTGTGCCAGCCGGCCAATGCAGCCGGCGCCGGCGCCGCGTCGCTGCCAGCCGGCCCGGTGTCGCTGGTCGGCTCGTCTGGCTCGAGCGCGGCGAAGAGCGTACGTGCGAGCTCCGCCCCAGGCGGCCCAGGCTTTGGCGGAGGCGGCGGTGGCAGCGGCTTCGGAGGCGGTGATGCCGACGCTGCTTTGAAGCTTGAGCTGAGCACGGCGAGCGAGGTGGTGGTGTGGGTGTACCGGTGGCAGCCGTCCTCCCGCGCCGGACTGCGCCTCCGCATCGGTCGCTCACCCAGCTCCACCCTTGTGATCCGCCGGTGTGAACAAGGTCCGCTTCACGGCTGCTCGGTGTGAACAGGCCGCGCCTTGCTTCGCATGAGCAGCGGCGGCCTGCCGCCTCCGGGGACGGCGCCCCTCCTCCGCATCCTCGCGGCCGTGATCGCAGGCCCACACATCTCATGACGAGCGCTTGGTTGTGAATGGAATGATGAGCGCTGAATGGTCGATGAGACATGGTCGCAGGCTTTGGGCGGCCGACCTCCGCCCACCGCTCTCTTCTCCTCTCGGTGCTGCTGCCGCTGCACCGGCCCGCGGGGCGACGCGACGCGACGGCGCAGCGCCTCTCATTCGCCAGCAAGTGATCCATCTGAGCTGGACCACTCATCAGGCGCCTCGACGCCGCGCCCCTCGTTAGTCACAAGCGATCTCTATGATGAACTCATTAATTAATGACCCAGGCGCCTCGAGGAGACGACGCCGCACCTCTCTCTCTACCTTAATTAATTAACTAATTATTAATTAATACACCCAGGCGCCTCGACGAGACGACGCCGCACCTCTCTCTCTACCTTAATTAATTAACTAATTATTAATTAATACACCCAGGCGCCTCGACGAGATGACGCCGCACCTCTCTCTCTACCACGAGCCTCTGGTGCACGCGATGCTGCTGCTGCTGCGCGCGCAGCCGTCGCTGCTTCCCTCGGCGCTGGGCGCGATGCTGCAGCAGCGGCCTATGGAAGCACCAAGCAAGGAGCAGCCACGCTGAAACAACTAGGAACTCCACCAGGCGCGATGCAGCAGCAGTGGCCTAAGCACCAAGCAAGGAGCAGCCACGCTGAAGCAACTAGTGAAGTCCACCAGGCGCGATGCTGCAGCAGCGGCCTATGGAAGCACCAAGCAAGGAGCAGCCAGGCTAAAGCAACTAGTGAAGTCCACCAGGCGCGATGCTGCAGCAGTGGCCTAAGCACCAAGCAAGGAGCAGCCAGGCTAAAGCAACTAGTGAAGTCCACCAGGCGCGATGCTGCAGCAGTGGCCTCAGCCGCAGGAGGGCAACTCGAGCAAGGAGGTGCTCCTGCTGCACGAGCTAGAGAGGCCTGCCCCGAGGTCGCAGGGCTTGCCTCTCTCGGCCGCGTATAGTCAGCTCACAATCAACACGTCTTCAGGCTGCTCGAGGTTGCGGAGCCCGCCTCTCACGGCCGCCTCTCCCTGCTGCTTGCTCCGCTCCTCTGCCGCTCGGTGTGTCGCCTGACGGCTGTGGTCGAGCGATCAACCGCTCACACGCATGATGCGCTGGCCGTCCTCTTCAGGCTGCCTCGGACAACTCTCGCGTCGCGGAGCGGGTGGGATATGACTGTACGTATATGACTGTATGTGACATGGCCCTCTCGCCCCAGCCGCGACACAAGGAACGGGGTTGAGACTCCCAATCTCATCTCCCTGCGGCCTCTGCGCCAATCTCTGCGGCAGGCGCTCTCGCTCTTCTCGTCAGAGGCGGCGCGGCGCGTCCTGCTCGCAGACTCGCGCGGCGCGATGCCGATGCTGATGCAGGCGACCTCCAAACGACACTCGCCCTCCTCTCTCTCTCTCTCTCTCTCTCTCTCTCTCTCTCTCTCTCTCTCTCTCTCTCTCTCACTCTCGCCCACTCTCGAAGGCGCTGTCTCGGTGGGTCTCTCCCTGGCCGTTCGCTGGGGCGGGGGTGGGTTCGCCCCGCTGGCTCCCCGCGCCCGGGG